CTGTGAGCTACAAATTCAACCCAATTAACGCATCAATTAAGAATAGGTTCCGGAAATTTATGTAAACATCATCAGAGCAGAAATCTTCATTCGCTCAACGGTCTCGGCCTCTAATTATTTCGGCAACTGCTCTCAATTACTTTGATAACTATGAACTCATCTAGTCAGTAATTGAGCAAAGTTAATATTAAACATGTATGTATTTAGGTGCATCAAACAGTTATCTTCCTACTAAAAGAAATTGTATAATTTTTTGTAAAATTTAATCTCTGTTTACGTAACGAAATCAATGACGAAAACCTAATAAAAATTTCTTACTTTTTATATATGATTCACTGATTATTTGTTAATGAATAGAATAGTTGATATTAAAGCCTAATTAATAATTTGGCTATAAACCTTGAGTCATCAAGGTGACTATAGCTAAGGACGAAGTAAAATTGATACAAAATTGTCGATTGTTTCAAAGAAATTATAAACATTGACAATTTTTGTATAAAAATGTAAATGTTATCCAATCAGTACTAATAAAAATAATCAATTGTACTGTGAAATCTAAATTAGATTTTGAACATATCAAATTTTACTTTCTAATAAAATATGTACGTTTTCGTTCAAATACATAACATTCAATAAATTGCAATGTACAAAGGCTTAAAGTAAATTCTCGGATTACATTGCCTTCCAACTTAACAGTGCTTAAGTCTTCCTAGGAAATATTTACATTTGAAGATAGAGATCTTCGTATAGAGCAGATGCTCGAGGTTGGCACTTGTCGCTTAGAATTTGCCACCCATCTACTACCTGCTTTTTCTTCAAAAGAAAATCATTTACAGGACAGTTTTCTATGTCTCTGAGAAATCTTAAGGCGAATACCGTTATCAAATATTATCACAGCACGGGGTGTTCAAAGATTTGCTTTGCGCTTTATAAACAAACCGGAGATAACTGAAGTCAAAATCACAACAAAAATGTAACTGATATAACCATGCACGCGTTTCCAAGACTTTATAGAATTCTTAATCGTAAATTGAAATTATCTAATGTATTTCAAATTTATGAAACAAAAGTAATTCAAGTATGCTATGAAAACAAGATAACAAGCATATAATACAATTGTTTTGAAACATATACAAATAATTTGAGCATGTTATTCACAAACAACAAATTTGTAGCTCTCCCATGATTTAAATGTCACCAAAACGTAATTATACAATGGAATCAAACAATTACAATCAAAAAGTATGATAACTACATGTAAAACAATAAGCAACTTGTAACAAACAGAAAATATGATTGTTCCAAAAAAATACAATGAGGTTGTCACTAATTAAACTAGTAATTTAAACTGGAGAGACACGACAATAATTTTCGTTTTGATAATAGGACAAACTTTTAATGAAAGTTAAAGGTTAATTGGATTAACCTTTAACCAAATTCTCGGATTGGGACCTGGGGCGTTCTCCAAAATCAGCTCGCTGTGACTAAATATGTGGGGAAAGTGCAAGTGTGTTTGCAATTGGATTGTAAAATGAATAGAAAATCATTGATTTTAGTTTGGATATGTGACAGCTGTCAAATGTATATATGTGTGTTCTCTTTTCTTTCTCTCCCACCAATGTTTTCCAATGATAGTAGTAATACTGTGTGTGTTTTTTTTTTGCTTATGGTTGTGGGGGAGGACTCACCGTGTATAGGAAGGGTGGGCTGGTCCCATAGAAACCCCTGCTGGTCATTCTCTCACCCTCTCAGCAGCAGCAGCAGTCATTTATTATAATCCAGGATCGGTGTGGCAAGTGTTTCATGCAGTTGCAATGATGAAGAACTGTACTTGTTTCTCACGACTCCTCAGCAACAGGGCGAAAGATGCGAATCGCAGAGTCTGCGATGGATGTGTTCAACAACAGCTCGACTTCGGTTGTGTTTTACCTCAAGTGGGAGAGCAGGCAAAAAGCAATTAGCACAAAACGCACAAACAAGGTCAGCTGATCATTTCGGCTGAGCTGTTCTTCGGTTTGCTGGCTGCAGTGGTCCAGGTGGTAGGTAGCTCCAGATTACAGGTATCGCAGGTGCGAAACTCGTTTCATCCTTCGGGGAGTCTCTCCTGTTCTTTCTGATAAGGTGCAGTGGATGTATGTGTGTAGGATGTACCAATAAACAAAGCCGCGGTTCACTCGCGTGTCTCTACTCTTCGTGACTCACATCAAGACTGCCGGGAGCGCACCATTGGTAACCACGGACGCGCACCGAAACGCCGCTGCTCGCAAGAACGACATCTTGCGAAGAAATTACGAAACAACTATATTCACATTATATGCAACCAAACATACATTAAAACTATTTGAAATATTTCAAAAGTTTTTGAAATTCTTCATTTATCCAAAGATTAAAATAATCATTATAATATTTTAAATCATTCCTATAGCTTCTCTCATTATTTTATACGTCTATTTAATTAACAGAATCCCTAATGACAGTAGCCTTCATCGATCCCTGAATAATTATGCCAATCTATAGCAAATTTCAATTATTTCACATGTGAATAACTTTCTCTTCTTTTCAACTAACTTCTTCTATGAAGTTCATATAACTCATTTGTTTTTTTTTAATATTTTTTTTCTAATTAATTTAATAAAAGTAATATTATTGTAATTTATATTATTATATAATTAAATTTAATGATTTCAAGAACAAATAAAAGGAGTGGGACAACACGCAATTTCCAAAATATTTTTACTCAACATTTATTGAGTAATCAGTAATAATGTTTACCGGTCAAACTCGCTTTTCAATTTGAATCTGGAGAAATTTGAAGACACCGCCTTCCTACAGCAGCAGTCGTCCATGTCCGTGTTGGTCTCTTTGGATTCCTTGTAGATCTTCTTCTTCTTCACGAAGGACGTATTCGTTGACACCTGGCTTTTTTCCACTCCTACGTCCACTTCATCCTGCTTATCTTCTGTTCCCATTGCTAACGCATCTACTCCAGAAGATTCAGGCTCAGATTTGCTTTCGTTACAGACTGCCAAGCAACCTTGTGTCTCATCTATGGTGTTAGCTAAAGATGAAGAAGGAGCCGGTGGCGTGGTAGTACCACACACGTTCACTTTACTGGTAATGGTAATGGCCTTAAAGTTAACTTTAGATCCTGATAGGGCATCGCATGGTGAGCAAGACACATCTTCAAACGACTTCCTGATCACTTTCGTGCACGGTCTCACCCAACTGGCCACAGTTCTAGTAGCAACCTTATCACCTTTGATGACGTAGGACTGCTGTATTTGCAAGTTGTTTTCGGATTCATCGCTAGATTTCGCGCATAAAGTTGGTAATTTCGAAGGCTTGTTCACAACTTTCTTATCCGATGATCCAGAATGACTGCTCGGACACTCGCAACTATCTTGTTGCTCTTGCTTCTTCATCTCAGGGCATTCTATCGTGGATACCACCTCCTGACCGCAAGCATTTGAATCACTTGCATTGTCAAAGTTCCTTTTGGTTTCTTCGCAATCGCATTCTGGCTCTTTCTTTCTTTTCATCTCGAACGACGACGAACTTTCGTGCGTGCGATTCCGAGCAGATTTCTGCGAATCTTTTGAATCGCATTCGCAACTTTTAGGTCTGTTGAATTCTTTAGAGTCAGTTGACGTTTTTTGGCATATCAAACGCTTCGGCTTCAACGGTTTAATATCGTTGCATTCGCAGCTCCTCGCCCTCGATTTGGGTTTAACTTTAGATACATAGTCGCAACTGGATGAAGAGGATTCATCTCCGGCCGTTTCGCATAAGCAACTGCGCGATCTACGATTGTAACTAGCCCTGGTCCTGTTCTTGCATGGAACTTTGCTGAATTCCTTCGGAGAATGGTAGACTTGTAGTTCATCATTGCTGCATTCGCATTCGTATGAGCTCCTTTTAATTGGAATTCGCGCTTTGCAACTGTGTCTTGATCCTTGCACATCTTGCTTACTAGACTTCTGAACGTCCTGTTTCGATGAACTAACAACTTCTTGCTTCGACGATTCCCCAGATTTAACTTTCTGCAAACTTTCATTGAGTTGCTTGGAAAATTCTTTGCTTGTTATGGACCCACTTTTGCTTTTCTGTCTCTCCTCGAGAGCCTTCGAAGCCACGTGACTCGGCAGTTTAGGACTTGCAATATTAGCTTCGCTTTGTGCATTTTCTTCAGGAGCAACCTCTGCTTGGCTAGCTGTTGCTTGCTGAGTCGCTGAAGTTACATTTTTTGAGATAGATCCACTTTTGCTTTTCAGCTCGTTCGAGACTTCTTTGTCAGTTAACGATTTTTCATCAGCATCCGGTTCTTTAACATCTTCAGTGGTTTTCGGATCATTCTTGGTACCATCTGTAGTTGAAGCATCTCCAGAAATCGATGCAGATTTCTGCACAGATTTGCTGCTGGTGATGGTCAACTTAGACATACCATCTGTACACGCACATTTCGGTTTATTTTCGTCCATTGGGTCTATAATCTTTTTGCATGTACACTGCATATCTTCTTTGATAATTGTTGGAGGCAAATCACTTGTTTTAGATTTATTAGCACGAGGTGCAGATGTCTGACAACTGTTGCACTTTTTCTTAGGTTTCTCTGTATCCTCAACTCTGACCGGACTTTTACTAGAAGAACAAACGCATTTTTTCTTGGGTTTCGGCTCTGATTCTTCTGGTTTCTTAATCGAAGAACAAGTACATTTCTTACCAGTCTCCAAATTAGTGCAGCATCGACATCTCCTTTTAACTTCTCCAACTTCGCTAGGTTCTCTTGTTAATTTACTGGTTACTGGTTTCTTAACCACATCCACTTCTGATTTGTATTTTTTATCAGATGAACACGAGCACTTCTTTTCGCCGCCACTACGAGACTCATCCATTTTACTTGTATTCTTAACAACCAACGTTGACTCATCTATTGATCTTCTGCTTTGATTCCTCGTCGAGACACAATCGCACTTCTGCTTGAGACTAATCTCAGACTGTTGGAAAGACTTTTGACTCTGTATTACCTGACTTTGATTGTTTAATAGAGAACAGTTGCAAGATCCGTCTATTGTCTTTTGACTCGTATTCTGTTGTATTTTGCTTTGAACTCGAGAAGTTGAGCAGGTGCACGAGTCGGCAAAGCTCACGGAGGACTCATTTGACTTTCTGTATTGTGCGGTTTTACTTAGATCTCGCTCCACCGAACAATCACAAGACGTATCTGCATACATAGCAGATTTAACAGCTCTTTGACTCATGTTCTGATTCAGATTACTCCAGGTTTGATTATTTTCATAATTAACGCCTACATTCATAATAGATTGATCAATTACACTTTGATTATTTGCAACTAAACAATTGCAAATATTCGTATCCACTGTCATTTGCGTAAATGCAGATTCCATCGATTTCTGGCTTTGCTTTTGATTAAGTCTACTTGGACTGTGACTATTATTAGAACAAATGCATACGTCTCCTGTAGATTCGTTAATTGTCGCCTGGCTTTGATTGATATTGCTTTGCTTCTTCATCGATGTTGTTGATTGTCCAAATGTTCTTTGAGTACAATCGCACGATCCATCTAGTGTAGTTCTAGATTCATCAATAGTTCTCTGACTGGCAGCTTGTACAACATTACGAGTTAGTGAACACTTGCAATCATCAATAGTCCTCTGATTGTAATTTTGAGAATAGACACTTTGATTTGCGCTCTTTGCACAATTGCAATTCTGTTCCATATCAACCGTTTGACTCTGCATACAGTCACAAGCATCTTGACTTCGTCCAAGTTGAGATTCATTAACAGATCTTTGACTTTGATCAACTCTGCTTTTACCGCAGTTACACTGCTCTTTGATACTAAACTCCGTACTCGTATAATCGTTCATAGACTTATCGATTGTTCTTCGGCTCTGATCAATTTCACTGCGATTTCCATTAGATGCACAATTGCATTTCACTGACCCCGCAAAATCCAGTGCAGATTCGTTCACCGATCTCTGACTCTGATTCATCCTACTTGGATTTCTACTCTTAGCGCAATTACATGACGGCAAATTTATTTCAGTTCTGGACTCTATTATTTTTTGGCTCTGGCTTTGGTCCAGTCTACTCGGACTTCGACTTTTAGAGCAACCACAAGTTTTCTGCAAGTCACCCATGGATGCATCAATTATTTTCTGGCTTTTGTTTTGTTCCAAGTTACTTGTATTACGATTCAGAGAACATTTGCAGGAGCTACCATCAACATTTTTTTGACTTTTATTCAATTGTGAGTTTACTATATCAACTGTGGATTCAATCGTTCTTTGACTTTGGTTTTGTGTAAGTTCACTCTGATTTCTATTTAATCCACATTTGCACTTTTTTCCAGCATTTTCTATAGTTTTCTGAGAGTTTTCCAAGTCCACGGTAGATTCATTCAATGTTTTTTGACTCTTGTTTTGTTCCAATTCACTCCTATTTTTATTTATACCACATTTGCATGTTTTTCCAGCATTCATGTTAGATCCATCGATTACTTTCTGTGAACTTGCAAAATTTACAGTTGACTCGTTTATTGTTCTTGGACTCTTTTGATCTATATCACTACTATTTTTATTAATTCCGCATTTACAAGTTTTTCCAACATTCACATTGGATTCATTAATTAGTTTCTGCGAGTTTGCAAAATCCGCTGCAGACTCATTTATTGTTCTTTGATTCTTTTGATCTATTTCACTTCTATTCTTATTTATACCACATTTGCATGATTTTCCAACATTTGTATTAGATTCGTCAATAATTATCTGTGAAGTTACGAATTCATGAGTAGATTCATCAATTGCTCTTTGACTCCTTTGATCTATCCTATTCTTATTAATACCACATTTGCATGTTTTTCCAATATTTGCATTAGACTCTTCAATAGTTTTTCGAGATATTGTAGACTCATTGATTGTTCTTTGATTGTTTTGATCTATTTCACTCCTATTCCTATTAATCCCGCATTGACAAGTTTTTCCCACATTCACATTAGATTGTTCAATGACTTTCTGAGAACTTACAACATCAACAGTAGACTCATTAATTAGTTTTTGACTCCTTTGACCCATTTCACTCATATTCCTGTTGATACCGCATTTACAAGTTTTTCCAACATTTGTATTAGATTCATCAGTAGATTCATTAATTGTTCTTTGACTCTTTTGATTTATTTCACTCCTATTTTTATTAATGCCACATTGACAAGTTTTTCCAACATTCAGATTAGATTCATCAATGTTTTTTTGTGAGCTTACAAAATCCACAGTAGACTCATCAATTGCTCTTTGACTTCTTTGATCTATTTCACTTCTATTCTTGTTAATTCCACATTTACAAGTTTTTGCTACATTTACATTGGACTCTTCAATAGATTTTCGAGACTCATTCATTATTCTTTGACTCTTGTTCTGCTCAATTTCACTCATATTCCTATTTAATCCACAGTTGCAAGTTGCTCCTCTAGTTTCACCAATGCTCTTCTGACTTTTACTTTGAATTTTATTCATTTGTGAATTTACAGATTTCGCCATTTCCACAAGAGATCCATTCATCGCCCTCTGACTTTTACTCTGATCTATTCTACTTTCATTCTTAGATTTAGAACAATTGCAGGTTGATTCTACATTAGTTCTAGATTCCTCAAGAGGAATCTGCTGATCCATTTGATTATTACCGTGAGTCAGTCCACATTCACATGTCTTCTCATAATTATCATCGAGCGCTTCCTGACATTTACTTTGAATTTTACTTAATTGAGAGTTGACTGATTTCACGAATTGCATAGCAGAATTATCAACAGGTCTCTGATTAACATTTTTTGAACAAGCGCACGTCTGTTCTATGTCGACTCTTGACACATTCAATGGTATTTGATTCATATCTTTTAAGCAATTACAGACTCTAGCAACATTCGGATTAGAATCTCCCATAGGTTTCTTGCATTTACAACGATCGATCGAAATGGTATCTTCAATTTCAATAGTCGATACTCCCATTTTGTTCATATTTTGTTGAACTTTGCTCTCGTAATTTATTTTATTGCAATTGCATTTTTTTGACTTTTGATTCTTATTCTGCTCCATATGACTTTTGTTACTCAATAAGCAGTTGCAAATATTTGCATCGTCCTGTGGTTTTTGACTAATTTGTGAGTAAGCTTCTGGGTCGACAAAATCATTAACATATCTTTGACTCTTGTTTTGTTCCATTTGATTTTTGCAATTGCAAATCTGCTTATCCGCCGCTGATTTTTGAGGATAATCTCTAGGCGATTCGGAATAAGGAAGGCAAACGCAACATTTGGTCTCCTCTTTCTCAGCTTGGTATTTGGTGGTTTGATCCATGCAAGTATTTCGGAAACCCATCTTGCTAAGGTTCACATTGTTGTTGATATTCGGGTTCAATTTTCTATTGCAACTCTTGCAAAGATCGGCTGTTTCGTTTCGCACTTCTGTTTTCTCAGAATTACAATTTCGTGCGTTTTCTTGAAGACAGTTACATCTGGACGAATCACCTTCAGTGGAAGGAGGACAAAAGCATCCCACTTGATCGAAAACTTTAAAATTTCCAGGTGCATTTTTCTGTTCGCATTTGCAGAACCAATCCATAGTAGTTGTTGTTGGTTCTGGATTGTTGTGTTCTTTACATTTGCAGCAAATATTAGTTTTTTCTGGTTCCGCAATTGGTCTGGTACAATTATTATTATTATTATTATTATCAGACTCCTCGTAATCTTGACAGTAACCACAGCTTTTATAGTTGCTTTTCCGTTTGTTGCATTTGCAGAACTCTTCATTTTGTGCATTTTTCTGGCCTCTGCTTTTATTCCTTTTGGTGGGTTTCTCGTTATTGGTTGGTAACTCAAAGCAATTCGTGCGGCCAATTCTTGTGGCAATTTGGAAATCCCAACCGTCTTCGCATTTCTTCGGTTCTTTTGGAAGTTTGGCCTTCGAATCATGTTTGCTCTCGGCTCTGTGACCTAAACAGCTGCAGCTCTCCTCTTCGCCATCGCTGAAAGGAGTTGCGTCGGAATCAGTTTCGCTAACTGATGTCTGTCTGTTAATTTGATTTCGATGCTTTACTCTTTTTGTAATGCCGCTCTTCATGTTGGGCATTGGAGGATATAATGGTGCATGGAAATAGGGTGGACATGGAAAGCAATGCATGGGCATAGCTTGTGAATAGGTGAATGATAGCTCGGTACCCATCATTGCCCCGTAGGATGAAGACATGCAATAAGGATTCGCCGGTTTTGTTTCGTGAAAATCCGGTAAATTCAATTCCCTTATCCTAGCTCTTAACTTGTTAATACCTTCTTTTATAGGTTCCATTTCCTTCTTGCAAGAATCCAAAAGCGAAGTGATTCGATCAGTTTTTGATCTGATCTTAGCGGCTTTGGATACTGAACTCTTACTTATCGATCCTTTACTGAGAGAATGCTTCGATCCTTTGGACTTTACCATTGGTATACTTGCATGTGATTTCTTTGTCTTCTTTTTACTCCCTTTGGGTGTGGTTAAGTTGTAGATGCTCATGAGGTTTGATTCGTGGGATATGCTGTTTGTCATCTCTATAGATTTATTTTTAGGCTTCATAAGGTATGATTGGGAGTACGAACTGCCTGGACTAGGTTTTGATGGTGGGTTTAATATGAGATTGGATAGAGTGCTGGTAATAGCGATGGCTTCTTTGCTGTTCAGCACATGAATTCTGCTAATTTTTTTCACACGAATTTTCGATTTGCTTTCCTTTTTCACAGGAGGTGCATGCTTTCTCTCCCCGCATGAAGTTTTTTTTTGTTGCTTCGGAGGTTTGTAAGTTTTACGAATGCTGCAGTTCTTTGGTAGCAGGATGTTAGTCCAAGGCATTTCAATTCGTGAGGAGCACTTGGAAGAATCTTCGAAAAAGCCCGGAAAGTACGTGAACATTTTGTCCATATAGGGCTCGTTGTGTCGTTCGTCCTTTGGATCGTACACTTGTTCTGCTTTTGGTTTAGGCCTGTATACGGCCGTTGGGTCGTTTTCTTGGACTACTTTTGAGGCATTTCGTCCTGCTACTTCGATAACTTGTTTCTCGATGTCAGGGATGGTCATGTCATCCGTAGCCAGTTGATCGTTGAGGACTTCTTGCGTGAGATCGATGAATTGATCCTGGTCTATGGGACCTACGGTTAATTCCTTCAGACGGGTCATTGATGGGGATTCGGTGGGGGGACATGGAGGGCATTCAGGTTTTTCCTGGAATTATTATAGAAGTTTTACGTTTCTGTTGATGTTAATTTAATGGTGGTGTTACGTTTTGCTTCATTTTGTAGGTGATCATGTGCCAGGGGATGTTCATGCCGCAGCCGCAATTGTCGTACTTCCATTCGGAATCGGAAGTGGTTTGCGTGGCGGTGCAGTCCTGACTCAGCGACTCCAAATAGGTGTCGACGTATTCGCCATCCTGATTATACAAGAGGTTCTGCTGCTGCTGCAACGGTGGTGGATGTTTGTTGGTCTTCTTGCTCATGATTCCTGCGAAAGGTCGGTTTGGTTTGAATGGCTTTTCGCGTGTGTCGGCCGCACCATCGGCAACCTGATATTTTGCAAAGAGTTCGCAGCGCGAGTCCGTTTCCGGTCACCGATTTGCGGATACGAACGAGATAGTTTATGGTTATTGGTGTTGTTGGTGATGATGATGGAGGGTTCGTGGATGGCAGGCACAGCGGCGCCAGAGGGTCCCTTGCAGCCGCACTCGCATTCTATTTCCGACTGCATTTGCTTTCTTCTGCAATCACCAAGCCGTTCAGTCGGTTGTAAATTACAGTTTTGTGTTTGTTTTTGGTACTTTCCTGAAGTGCCCGCTTCCGGCTGCTTGCACATTCGGTGCAACGTATTCTCCACGTTCTTCACTGTACCGTCCATCACGGTCTTGAGCTGCTGCTCTTGCCATTCGGTCGGGTTCACGGTCTGGCTATTTTTCTCATCGACAGTGATTACGATCGTCTTCAGGGCGGTCTCTACTTGACCCGGTGAATCTGAAGGTTTAAAAGTCAATATCGTTTGCATGGATACATCTTTATAGACGGTTGCCACTTTGTCCTCGTCCAGGATGTGCGGCGCCACCGCGAGGACCGTTTGTGTGTTCGCAGATTCTACACTCGTCTGCATTCTCGACGACAAGCACTGCAGATGGGAGGCCGCCGATGTACCTCCAAATTGTTTCCTAAGTGCACTCCTAATATGCGTGCCCGAAATCGAACGGACAGGCTCTACTCCTTTATCGCTGAATCGCAACACCTGCTTCTTAGGCAAATCTATTACTTTCAGAGAGTCCTTAGCGATCTCCTTGTATGGCATATACTCCAACAGGAGCAGCGAGGTATGGTAGGGCGTGCTGTTATCTATTTGCACCACTGTCTGGCAAGTGCGCAAGCAACGCACCTTCACCTCGTCCTTGGGCCCAGGAAAGTGAGGTCCTACGAAGTATATTGTTTGGACGCAAGCATCCTCTAGCATAGTACGACCACCGAATTATCAGGTTGACGATGATGGCTCATTGCCTGCCAGTGTCTTTGGGAAGGAAATACAGAATACAAAAAGTTCTTACCGGCTTGGAATCGACAATTTTTTTTAACAAACGAGTTATACCAAAGATTTTGATAGCACCACGAAAGAAAAAGAAACACACAAATCAAATTTAGAAACGTCAAAAGTTTTGATACCAGTCCCCTTGATCTAAAATACATCAATATTACTAAACAGATATGTTTGCTTCCTATAATCCAATCATTATTCCTAAACTTCAAATAAAACATGGTCTAAATAAGTAATTAATCTACCAAATTAAAATAAATTACATTCATTAAGTTAAATATTAATTAACAACACAGATGGCGTCAAAGCCATTTTACTCTACAATTTATGCAACCCATCAAGGACCATTTCCGCGTTTCTACCAGTTTCAGGATGAAGTGCTTTACGCTCGTTGAACTCTCTTATGATTACTGCACATATACACACACACACGCACTTATGAAACGCATCTCTCGCATATCTTTTCTGCTAATTTGTAATTTAATAAACGACCAATTACCAGCTAATAGAGACGAAACTTTCCATTTTAATTAAATAACAGTGAAATTGAAATTATATAAATGTGTATCGCGCAGAAAGAAAACTATAGTAAAAGAGGAAGAAAAAAAAAGAACGCATTACCACAAGAATTCTCAACGCACAATTATAATAATAGCACATTTACGTATCATTTTTTTTTCTAATTTCGTTGCAACTTCAATTATAAATTACGTTCGCCTTTCTCCTTTTAATCGCTTATTTGTATTACGAAAATGCATTAGAGAGAAAAAAATGGAAAATTTATATTAATAGATGCTTTCGACAAAAATTTTCTTCTATCTTACGAGCAATCACGATGTTCCATCAATTGTTGGGCGTTCTCTGCGAATTAATAAACTATCATCGTGTTTAAATATACGGGAAATTTCAGATCCGGAAATTGAATACAACTTCAAACTTATCCTGAGTTTAAATTTGTTATTTTTATTTCACATAGTTGTTTGCTGTCAGTAATTTTTAGAGTAAACTTTTCAAACTTTAAAAAATGTAAAACGTTGTAAAAATTTGTAAACTGAAACTTTCTCGCTGGAAATGCTAAATATTATGTAAAAAAAAACTGTGTATTACAGAACCAAAGATATAAATCATGTTGTTACTTTCACGTACGAGACTGTAATAACAATGCGACAACAGGATTTATTTCTTTGTTCGAGGGAGGACAAAATATCTTGAAAATAATAAAAAAAAAATAATGATTCGGAATAGGAGTAAAGTTGTATGAAAGCGATGGCAAATACGTGAGTCTATTTAACATAGGTGGATTACACGGCGGAAGATCAGAGGTTTTCTGTGTGTAAAGAAGAAAGCAATTGATTCTATCCGTGCATAATCGAGAGACACGAAAATAGAATTGGAGCGAAAGAGGTCTTCGCGGAAATTGTCTTTGATGATCGATCCGACTGCAAAGCAAATAAAAAGAAACTATAAAACGAATACCGTGTTAAGAACTATTGTGAGTTTCAAATTGTAAAAAGTAAAATTGTAAATAATGTATGTGTATTGTTTTCACTTGATTCCATTTGAACAAGAGTCATTTTGTTAGTACTTAGACATACTAATTAGAAATTAACCTTGCAAAATGTAAAGTAAAATTAACGTAATGCAAGAAAGTGTATCTAGTTTCACCGAGTTTTCTTTCTCATGACAAATTTCTTGAGCGAAATTTAAATGTTTAGAAGCAGAAAAAAAACAACAATTTCATTTTTGTAAATTATTAATGTGAAAGAAGTAAAGTTTTATAATATTTATCTATTATTTTATGGTGTTTACAAATAAACTAATTGAGATCATAATTATGTCATTAGTACGTAAATGGTGAGTATAGGAGTGATACAAATAGTTAAAAAAAATTTGAATTTGGTAATCGATTGGAAAATAGGATGTTGGGTTGTTGCAAGAATTGGGTCCGAGCGCTCGTTAATGACGGCCAATTAATGAATCGCAAGAGATCGCGTTTCTTTCGTAATTCGAAGAAGAAGACTCAACAAAAGAGAGAAAAGACTTTGCATGAAAGAAAAAAAATAAAACAGAAGAAATAATAGTAATTGGCGATTTGGCCCGTCGACCGTGATATGTGCGCTCGGTAACTTTCATTTTTCTTTTCTCAGAATGCACATACACATAACAAGGATTAGAACGATTGGATTCACTAAATTTTTAGGTATTTACCGTTTTCTTTGGAGTTTCCGCCATCGGTATTTAAATCCATGCCACGCCGAAGACCTTGAATCTGATGATGATGAAGATCTTTCGGGGTAGGAAAAGTTGATGGAGCTCGGGATGCATGCGATGAGCGCGCGCGAAAACAACACCAACAATAACAACAGAAGCGGCGACGGACGCGCTCCTCTACAACACGAGGATTCCTTCTTTCTACTGGCCACGATCCAACGGACTGTGACAAAACACCTGGATCGGAACGGACTCCTTCTTCTTCTACTACAGTTTTCCCGTTCAGGGGAAATCCATCGTGTTTCTCCAAGTAGGTTTTGCCGTAAAACAATTTTTTTTTTCAAAAGTAAAAACGTTACAACTGACTTCTGGATTGTCAGAGCGAAGAATGGAGCTGCATCTTGCGGCGCCTCCGCCGTCCGTCGCGGACACTTCGGTAACGCAACATCAACCCCACAGCGAAGCTCCGACGATAGATGTGACCACTCCCAATAGCAGCCAAAATGCCTCCAATCAAGACTCTCTGGTGAGCATCACCAAAGGTCTTTAGAAGGATTCGCAAATTGATGATTTTCAGTACGATTCCTTCTCGAACACCATGCATTACCTCTCGCCCATGTCACCTTTGTCGGCGAGGACGGTGCACGAGGGTGATTACTACGATTACATGGAGTTTCTAATCGAACCACTGGAGAAAGGCCCTTTACCCGAACTGTCCACCATAAGCTCGTCGTATATCAGTTGCGTGGAACCAGAACTGCAACGCACCATTGCCATCATCAAACCGGAAGCCATGTGCTATAAATACGTTGTTCTGAGAGCTATTAACGAGGTCGGCTTCCAAATCGTTGGGGTAAGTTTGTTGAATATGAATGAGCAAGAATGATCGTCATTTGCATGAATATGTTTTGAAGATCTATCCTTAGAAATGTAAAATTAACGATCAAAAAAGCAGTGTTTTCACATTTCACATTGATTCTCGAAAACTATAATACATACTATGAATCCAAAAGATGCATACGAAAGCTGAATGTTTGGGGAATGTAGCATGTATTCATATATTACTGTGGATTTATCCGTATGGCTGTAACTCGCCTTCAAAGTTGAAATAACGCTTGAAATAGCAGTGTTTTCACATTTCATTGATTTTCTTGAATACTATAATACATAGAATGTATCCAAAAGATGCATATGAAATCTGAATGTTTGGGGAATGTAGCAAGTATTCATATATTATTGTGGATTTATCCGTATGGCTGTAATTCGCATTCAAACTTGAAAAAACGCTCGAAAAAGCAGTGTTTTCACATTTCATCGATTTTCTCGAAACCTATAATAGTTAGAATGAATCCAAAAGATGCATATGAAAGCTGAATGTTTGGGGAATGTAGCAAGTATAGATACATTCCTGTGCTCTTATCGATATTGGTGTAATACGCGTTCATTTTATGAAATGGAGGGGGTTGGGGAGGCGCCAAATGATTACATTCTTTTGAGGGAGGCGTAGTAACATCAAGTTTGGAAACCACTGGCCTAATTAAACGAAGAAAGATTATAGTAGCTCATGGGTAATTGCACGTATCTTTCATCTTATTTCTACGCGTAACCAAATAATAGTTACTACATGTGCAGATCACATTATCCTAATGTTGTCTGACAATTAAAGGTGCCATCAAAAGCTATAGACATAAAACAACGTTGGCTCAGCAAATGGTGTATTAAAGTCGGAGAACAAAATTGAGTCGTAACAATTTTACGCTGACTATAAGAAATTATTTTAGATTAAACTTATAGGGTGCAATATAAAAATATTTAATGTAGTTATAATTATACATTTTACATACTTTTCAAACAAATAGTTGAATATATAATTTTCTGATCATTTAAGTAAATAAATGTAAGAAATGTAAGAAATGTATTTTTGAGTTGTAATAAATTACAAATATAACCACCAGAGTCGAGCCATCGATTTAATATAGACATTTATGTAATGGTTCCCATGGAAACGTCACTAAATGTTAGTTTGAGTGTTCGGACATCCAGAACTACGATAATATATAGATGGCTCCAACTCAAGGTATTGAAGGTGAATACGTCTGCTGCCCGGATTCATCCATATTAAATCCGATAGCAGGACTACTTCGAACAGATTCCCCGGAAAGAACGGCGAGCACGGAAAGCGAATTAACCTCCATCGAATCATACGAGAATATACAGGTTCCTCCTGATCTAAAGGATATACTAGTACGTATTTTTTTCTTCACATTTTTCCTTACGTGCAATATTTCATATTAACATAAAGCCCCTTTTTTTCAGTACACCTACTAAATTAAGCGTTATCCGCAAAAGTTTTATATGCGCGCATATCTATCTTCATTACAATCCTATTATTTTCTTTTTTCTTTTAGAGAAACGCCACAGGTAGCGATAATTTAGATGGGCTGTCAGAGTTGAAATTGAAAGTTATTGCTCAGGAAGTCGGGCTGCAACATTTAAGCACTTACGCTCCGGTTCTGTGTGAACTTACCTTGGACGGTAGCGTCGTATCCTCGTTAAGGGACCTAGGCTGTGGCCTAAAAACCCTTAAAACCCTGCGCGTAAATAAATGCGGACTAACCAGCCTGGACGGTATCTTCGGGATGCCCAATTTAGAGAAGCTCTATGCCGCTGGTAACTCCATTCGCGACCTCTGTCCGTGCACGTCTCTGCAATCAATTAATCTAATTGATGCTAGAAAGTATTTAATTGCAAATTACATACGAAATTAGTAATTAAAACATCTACTTCACAGAAACTTATTACGAGACATAAACGCTTTGTCTTTCCTTCTCCTCTGCGAACAGTTAACGCATTTAGTTTTGGAAGATAATCCGCAGATTAGTAATTCTTCGGAATACCGGAAAACCGTGAAAACACTGCTCCCAAATTTACAATATCTGGATGAGATTGAATTTACGAGAGGTTGGAATCTCACGAAAATTATTGATTACTTTTACACAAATTACTTTTGTTACAGAGGAAAATATCCAGTTTTTTGGTATCGATGCTGTGCTTAGATCAGAGGCAAGAAATCTTATTGCTATATATTCTCCTATAACATTGATCTATCTTTTAGAGTAAACTTCCACCGATTTCATCAAAAGCTGGAAACTCATCGACAAACTGTAGTTACTCGGTAAGCTTTGCGCCGAAAGTTTTATCTCCGAGGAATCAAACAGAAGTAGAAAATAATTCTACAAGCAATGGAAATATTAAAGGTAAGTAATACATGAAATATATTTCGTGTAATACATTAATTACTATTTGTAATATATTTCAGTTCATAAAATGGAATTTCCAAAAATTTAGTTAGTTTTGTTCAAAAATTGTTTAAATAAATTTATTTATTTTGTCTAATAATGTTGTATGTAATTGTGGTATAATAAATGTATAAGATTATATAAATCGCAGTGAAGATGTATGTTTGGTTGCGTGCATACAAATCTATATAAAATATTCAACAGTTGGCTTAGACTTAATGTCAATGGGTGTTATTAAAATTTGACAAGTTACACGTAAACTTCAGAGAAAAAACAGAATGAAACCCAAAATTAAAATTACTCAAAATGTAGTCGAGGTGAGTGGAAATTACGTACACCTATGTAAAGTCAAATGAAACATGAAATCATTCTGTACTTGCAAATATAATAGAACATATGTTTTAACCTTCATTTTGTATTGCAGCGATTGATGCAGCAAACTGAGCAGTGCAGTGGTAGATTGTATGGAACACTGTATAAAGATGCCCAAATAATAATTGGGCTGTACAAGAGGGATAAAAATGATGCAGGAGATCTATTTTTCCCAGCAGATGTTGATATGTGTGGTGCCTTTCAAATTGGGCCTCTGGCACAACATGAAGTAACAGACCTCCTAGCTGATATTGATGTAACTGACAACCCAATTTTCATCTCATTACCAGAAAAAATATTGAAACCGTATTATGTTATCAATGATCAGCTGGAAGCTGCAGATATAGAAATACTGAATGAGACTGCACTATACTCAGATTACTTGCATCTAAGAATCAAAGCTCAATTACCAATTGTTATGGAGATGGAAACCAATTCGATTAAGCAAGAGCTTTTAGCTATTAGAAAACAGTTTTCAAGTGGGAAGATAGGATTTCATTTGCAGAAAGAAGATGCTTTTATATTGGGTTCAAATGAAAATTCTGTAACAGGCAGCAATATCGGAGTTAATGAGGAGATGACTCTTGGAAAGTTAGTTGAACAAAATAAGGAAATGGGTGAAGAAAAATACAGCAGACACAATGCATTAGATCTGGTAAAACTATTGAAAATTATTTGTTTAATGTTATTAAAATATTGTGCCTTAGGAAGTTTTGTCTGTTGTTATGTACAAAAAGTCCACTTTTGATAGAAATGAGTTGGAATCTATTCATGCACCAATAATTCAAGTGGAAAAAAGTAGGTCTTTATAAAAATTTATAACATGTTATTAATTATAATATTTTAGATGAAACTAAAATGCTACAAATACTGCTAAATGTAGACTCACTCTCTTTAGTGCATAAGCAAACAACATTGGGCAACCTTTATACTATTTTGGTGGAAAGTGCCTGCAGGAATGTCAGACACATTGGCAATTTTATAATTAATTATATAGAAACAGCGTCTGATTTAACGAAGCCTTTCGAGCCAGAAGTGATTCATTACTATCCTATTTGTTGTGGACATTTTGTTACTAGAATATTGAACAAATTCGATGCAGAAGGTATTTAAATTTAGCATAATAATCAATGGTTTATCTAATTTAGAATTTGCAGATGCATCAAGAGGCAAATTGCATATGAACTTTATGATTCCAATGAATAGGCCTTATTTCAGAAGGTCTAATAGGTTTATTTTCAAAGGGGATTCTTATGGTCAAGCAGGCGGTGTTCAATTAAAGAACGTGCATAAAGATGCTAAACCCTCAAACAATGGTAAGATACTTTTTCATTTGCTTAATTGTTAATGCAATTTTATGTCTTTTATAGATTTAGAATTGGAAAACTGCACTGCTTAAATTAAATTATTTGGCAATATAATGTGTGTTCATTTAATATTTAATAATTCTCAGGTGGAGAACAGGCACTAGTGAAAGGAGATTATGAGTATTACCATTACCTTCAAGATGGTATGGATGATGATGGCTGGGGCTGCGCTTACAGATCATTGCAAACTTTAGCATCTTGGTTCAAGCTACAAGGATATGCTAACAAAGTTCCCACCTTCAAAGAAATACAGAAGTGTCTCTTTGATATAGGTGATAAACCATCTAGTTTTGTAGGTTCAAGACAGTGGATTGGGTCGACTGAAGTCAACTTCGTATTAGACTCGTTGCTGGGTATTACAAGTAAAATTCTTTACTGCAGCTCGGGTGAAGATTTGGCATATAAAGGCCCAGAATTGGTTTATCACTTCAATACACAAGGAACACCAATTATGATTGGTAAATTTTCGAAAATTTTGTATGTTTCAATCATTAACTTCCTTTTTTTAAGGTGGAGGCGTTTTGGCACATACTATCATAGGCGTTGACTATAATAGAGACACTGCTGATATAAAGTTTCTAATACTCGATCCTCATTACACAGGAGGTGAAGATATCAAAACAATTGTTAATAAGGGTTGGTGCGGCTGGAAGGGGATGAATTTTTGGGATAAAAAATCGTACTACAATATGTGCATGCCGCAGGTACCAAATGGCATTTAATTTTTAACACGTTGCAATCTGTTTTTAATTGTAAGTAAAAAAAAAAATGTTTATCCTGTTTTAATTTAAATTTGTATTTTACTGAAAGTTATAAAATAAATAACAAAGTGCTTTTTATATCGGCATCGATGTGATTTTCTTGTTGCCACTTATGTATATAAATAAACAAGAGTCGTAATAATTGTATTATTCTTATACACAGCCGAACTGAAAACAATGTAGGAAACTAAACCAAGAAATTAAAATTAACCCACATAAGGCACTGTGGTCATTTTTTTTTATATCTATTCTATAATAATATGCTTTCGATATTATTATATAATAATATAATTATCGATGGCCAAATTATTTCCCGTTCAACAGATTGAAAGCTGCTCCCAAGGCCCAACTTATTTCGTGACCATTGATTTTCTTGTACAGCTAAAAATGCGAAGAAACGAAATTAATTATAATCAATTTCACTATGCAATATCAATAGTGAATCAATAGGTTTGTTCTAAATACGAATGTTTTCGTATAATAGATAGATAACTTTTGAATCACTTTCAGCATTATTATGATAGAAATAACTTACGAATATTTCGGTTTCGCTATCTAAATCGAAACCGTTCTCTAATAAAACTGATATGAATGTAAGATCCAAACACATGAATGGTTGCTCGGAGTTTGGAGTTGTGCACGCTACAAATACAATATTTAGATTAACAAATATAAGTTGTGAAATTGTGGTTTTATTACCTTCTTCGGCGGCTTTTTTGAACATTTCAATAGTTACGGATCCACCGGAATATTCGTCGATTAATCCAACTTCGGCAGCACGATCAAAATAGTAACTGAAAGCAAATACTTTCTTCGTGGACAATTCCGCCGGCGGTTTTACTTTAGATAAAACGTATTTCTTGATGACCTCTGAGCATGTGTTATAGTCCACAATCGGTATATTCTGGCCAACTTCTATTGGTGTTTCGGGATACGATTTTGTGGGATAGTTTTCTTGCAAACCACTCACAAAATAATCCACACCTCCATAGTGGAACTTTCGGTTTTTGATGACTGGATTCACGCATGGACTCATCACTCTAGTTTCTTCTTTACTCACGCTATTTACAGTTATTATTTCTTTACGAGCAGCCATCAAGCCCAAACCCAAGTAACTATTGGTATAGACTTGTGTAGTTCCCTTGGGCAAAAGGGCGTCATGAATGAATTCTTTGTGGCGTAAAGACTCCGGGGTCAATGCAGAAAACGTTACTTGCGTGGATCCACCACCCAAATCTAAAGCCGCCACTGTGGTCGCAGGATTATTCAATTTATCTATAACACAAAAAAAAAATAAGTTAATTAAAATAACTCTAAATGGAATGTTTCCTGAATCATTACGGATTAAGAAGTTGACCGTGAACCAAGAGAAAATGCCTTCGTCCGTGCCATCCATAATAGCCACCGAATCTTCGTTGGTCAAAAATGGTAATTCGTTGAAATACGCTTTGACGGCATTCAATAAATTCTCTGCCTTCTTTGCAGGCAAAAGTCTTAAGCCGGCTGTTGCCTTCAGAACCAACGGCGTCCTGTTCCAATATTCCTGTGGAATTTCCTCTTTCGCTTTGCCTATCAAATAACTTATACTTTTAACAGCCGATGCGGGATCATCGGCGAACGCAGAGAGACCAGGCTTTGTTTGTACGAATAATTCCTTGTCCAGGATGAGAATGTCTCTGTTCAGGACAGCTCTGTGGAATGTAAATGCCAGCACCCTCGAACCCGTGCTTCCAGCATCGATGACGACCGCATGCTGAGGCTCATGAACTCCAAACAGTTTCGCTACGTTATCCGCAGCCTTATGACCTATATGCCATGGTATACTATCGGTGTATAAAACTGAAACAAACAAGCGAAATATTTCAGGTGATGTTTTTATTTAGGTATTTATTAAATTAATTTTACTCACCTACAAATAACGTAAGGATAGAACCACTGATAATTAAACACAGGAGCGATTGATGAATGATCATGGGCGCTTTATCAATGGGTCTCGACTTTTTCTTGTGAATGGGCCTTTCATTTTGGTCCCTGACCTGTTGAAATCAAATACAATCATAAACAAATTCCAATATTCAATACTAACTTAAATATATGCACACTTATAACTGAATATTGAAGCCAAATGTTGCATAATAAACAGTGAAACTAGTATATGTAATTAATATAATTTTACACAATTAGTAATAATTTATTTGGTTAACTTTCTGCAATTTGTTACTACCAGATGTTCAAAAATGAAAAATGATATAATAACGAAAATTTCTAATTATCACCACTTCTCCATAAAAACAATAATTCAACACTATATAAATATAAACAACAAATGTATAAATTGAACTTGAAACGTAAATTTGTTTATGAAATTTTAATTATTGCAATACAATAGTTTGTTTGATTTACAGAAGTAATTGTAATGCGCGGACGCGCACCTGCTCTATTCAATCTTTTCAATATTCGAAATTAAATGGTATTTGATTTTTGGTGATGTAAAAGTTGTAATTATTGAATAAAATACGTATTATATAATGCTTAAAACATGCAATTAAAAAGTGTATGCAAATAATTTATATTTCGGAAATATCCAAGTTTGTGTAAATTTGTAACCTTTTTCTTGCTAATAAGTTCAGATAAATAAAATTAATATATTTGCATCAGTATATTATCAATCAGAAAGCTCTGATAACAAAGATTGTTTCTGATAATTCTCAAATAAATAACACTTGACAAATTCCCACAATAAATTACATAAAAATTCTATAACACCAAGCAAATTAATATTAATGTGTAATTAATTGAGCGTCGTTTTATGATTGCTGTTATACTTTAAAAACTACTTTCCATAACTAGTTCATTTATATTGAATAATAACTTGATAATTATAAATATGAATGATGAAATTTTATTAAAAATACATACTCTTGTATACCTATAAGGCATTCTGCTTAACATTGAACTAACTACGTATACAATAATCACACTTATCACAATTTATTCATGTTTAAAACCACGAAATTGTTCACATATGCATTGTTAATTAACAGAAGAAGATAAAAAAAAAACTATTAATGTAATCAAGGAGGTCGTTTGTGGGGAAAAAAACAGCAGCTAATATAATTAGTAAATAAAATGAACACAAAAAGAAAACTGTTACGAAGAGACGAGCATACGATTTACAAAAAAAAAAAACATTCCACTTGTCAGATTGTTATGCAAATTATAGGTTATGTTGATAGGAAAACGATTTCGATTCACACGAACGATAATAACAAATTAGGCAAACGACATTAAACTTACACTTCAAAAATTACATTGATGATCCTATAAAAATAAAAAAAATGAAATATGAAATCTACAAGGACTTGCGGTTCAAAATCAACCAATAATCCGATTAAGAAGCGGTGATTGTGCAAAATATGAATAAATCTATTCGAATAATTACCTTTCTCCTCTTCAATTCGGTCGTTTTATTCATTGTTAAGAGCTATGGCGATCGGTTCGGGAAGAATGTTAGCAAACCATCAAAATATTGATTTTTCAAAACCACTTGCTGCCAGCGGCCGCCGTTCGCAACTACGAGTGAAAATGAGGATGTGGATGGATGGAACTCACTGAATTTCAAAGTACTATTTTAGTGTCATGTAATGATCGTTATCCCCTCTACGAACAAACACACGCTAATGATTATCTCTAAAATTGAATGCGAAATCATCAACTTATCTATGTACCAGGAGTAGTTTGTAGTTACCGATGATAGCACCAGTTGCGCCTGAAAAGTTTGAATTATTTTTCTCATCAATTACATCCGCCCAATAACCTTAACGTCCTATTATATCAATCAGTCGAAGATCTTTGATAAGGAGATTATATTTTGACTAATCTCCTTGTCGCGAATTACGATGTTTGCCTCTATAATCAATAAGATAAGCAATGAGGAAAAAGTACCTTAGATATAATTAATTATATTTTCGTGATGTTTGTGTGCTATATAATTATAAAAATATACGTTTTAACTCAAATTTCATAATAACAAACTATCAAACATTAACTGCCAATAATTAAAAGGCAAAATAAATGTCACTATTATTAAATACCAACGCTATTTAAAGTCCTTATTATATTATTTAATGTTAAATTCAAATTACCTGATTGATGTGTTTTTTTTTAAATACGTATTTTGTATTTTCTCAATTGGAATCTGGAATCAAAGGTTCACTGAAAACATTTAAAGTTTATCAAAAAATATAATTATAAAACAACAATATTTATATAAAATAAAAATAATATTGTAATACTTATCTCAGTGACTTAAACAATAACACTTTTGTAGAACTATTTGCAATAGTCTAAACGCAACACACATATCACTAATTTTTTACTTGTTCAATTATTATGAGATCTTATTCCTTTTACTATTACCTAATAAAAGTTTCTATCATTGGCCAAAAATACCATGAGAATAATAAGTCTCATCTATAAATTGAGTGCAAATATTTATTTATAAACATTGTATAAAAATATTTTATATACTATATTAAATGATTCTGTCAAAGCTAACAAAAGTGTTTGTACAATATAAAAAAAAATAGTTTAGTCTTCACTTATAAGAATGTTTGTCCAATTAAATTTAGATCCAAATAAGAAATACCAACTTTACTATAAATTGTTACAAATTTTTTATTCGAAATTATTTTTAAATGTATAATATTTAGCGTTACGAATTAAAATCAATTAAATATAAATTTTTATTTTTTTTCAAAAAAAAATCAGAAATATCACACCCATGGCCATTCGTAGTTAATGATACAAATGGTTACGTTTGGATATGGCATAGCCTATATATATATTAATTAAATTAAAACTAATTCAAAACAACATTAATTAAGATGTACATATTACATATCCCTGTCCTTTTTCATTTTGTTCCTTTTCGATCCTGTCTTGACTTCTTTAACTTTCCCAGCGAACCTCAACGAGTTTACTGTTTCATTGTAGCAATCTTCAAATGGCGATATGTTTACAAACATGAGCGTTTTCGAATTGCCGCCAAGACTCGATTGTAGAAGGTAAGTCAATTTGGAATTCCTGTAGGGGATGTGACCATCCTTGTTATGCAATGCCAGCATTACATTGCCAAGCGTGGATAAGCTCTTGTTGATATTCTTGGTCTCGTTGATCCTGTCGCTAGTTTTTGCACTTTCCGAACCGGCCAAATCGACGAGGTTGAGGGACGCTTTAAATATATATTTTTGCTCTTCATTGCATCCCTCCAAATAGATTTTGGTCACGGCATGAGAACGTGAACTATGTTCGTTATAATCAGTTGATGCAACGGCCCGATTATTCTGAGCTTCCAACATCAACGCCTTCAAGTCGGATGATCCATTTATTGGCTCTATTTTCAAATTAGTAACGGAAGCCTCTTTGGCATTATTATACTTGATGTCATGCGTTTCTTTGCTATTCGGATCCAATAAATCACGAATCGTTTCATTGTAGATTTCTAGAAAACTAGCTTCTACTTTGTACACCCATCCTGATTTTTCTAATTTTTGTATATGCTTAAATAACAGATCAACACATCTCGGAATCATGCCTAAAAATAAGCAAAAAAAATTACGTTTCTTGCAATAGTATTTTATAAAATAAATTATTACCTAGGTCTCCAGGTACTCCTTGCATTGTATAAGTTTTACCAGATCCTGTTTGCCCATAAGCAAACACACAAATATTATAACCATCCAATGCAGACTGAACCAATTGTGACAAGTCTTCAAATACTTCCTCTTGGCTACTCTCTGGTGGAAATACTTTATCAAAATTAAATTCCTGTTTCAAATCTGCACATTTTCCAGTTATAGCACTAATGCTTTCCTTCTGTTTTTTAATTTCTAATGTGGATTCATCAATGAATGTCATGTTCGTTATCATTCTATCATCTTCAGAATCTTTAGGTGGTCTTACTCTGCAGAAGACTCTTATATTGCCCTTCAAATCTTGTATTTTGTTATGCAAGTATCTTCTGGTTTGTTCACTTGCAAGCAAGTCTTGCTTGAATGTTTGTACTGAATTCTCCAAGTTACAAATATTTTCATTTGCAGTTTCCAAATTAGATTTATAAACTTTTAATTCCCTCCCTTCTTTCTCATACTTTACCATTATCTCAGTATGTTCTTTGTCAATAATATCATATTTTTCTCTTAAAGTTTTAAATTCTCTTGAAACTTTTTCATGTTCCTCTTTTAGTTTCTTTAAATCATTTTCAGCTTCCTCAGCTCTTTTGGTCAATAGATTTTTAGCTTGCTGTAAATTAACAGCAAGGTTATTGGTTGATTCATATTTCGTTTTATATTCCTCAAGTTCTGTAGAAAATAAATACTTGTGTATAAAATAAATATGTTTTATTATATCTAAACATACCTGTAAGTGCTGTTGACAAAGTACCCTTTGAATCTTTGGAATTTTGTATTAAGAGTGTATACTTTTCATTCAGTAAATTAAACCTAGCTTTGTAATCATATGGTGCTGGTTTTGAAACTTTTTTTATTTTCGGTTCATCTGAATTTTTATCATTTGCTGCTCTTTTTATGGGTTGCTTGGATGTTGTTGCCTGTTGTATACCAATTGGTTTCCTAACTGTTGCATTTGTTATACTCTTTGGCAACTCCTTCTTAACAGCAGGCTTTGTAAGAGTTCTTAGATTAGGTCTATCAAAACTCAAAGGTTTATTACATAATGTTCTTAGATCTGAAAAAGATTTAGATCTTCTAGACATGGGGGCCAGCCTTGCTGGTATTGCTCTTGATAATGTTGAGGTGACTTCATTTTTTTGAGTTCTATCTCTTAATATATTTGATGAACTCCCAACACTAATTAGTTTTGTTGGTGGTCTTAACTTGGACAAAAGAGTTTTCGGTTTGTTTTCCATTTTTCACTATACAATAACAGAGATCATTCAAACACTTTATACACCGAAAAACTAAACACCACTAAAGACGCCAAAACCAACGGTTATAAAATTTGAAAAACGTGAGCTGTCAAAATTCGTTATAAAACCATGCGCAGACAAGGAAACTATGGATCATAGATGGCGCAAATATCAATTGATGTGATTACTTTTTTGTGTTAATTCTATTAATTATATAATTATACAACACAAGTAAACGTAGATGAAATAATTTGCATATATTTTAAGAAAATTTTCCTTCGGTTCTATTTCTGAGTTCTATTACTGCATGCTGCCATTACTTTTGTAATTATATCAATGATTCATAACTACATTCTATATTATAAATTTATTACTTTAATTCTTTCATAATTTAAGATTGTTGTTGTTATTTTCATTATCAAATCTTTAAATTTATTATTTATTTGAAAGCATGAAACTGCAGTGTATAGTTAATAATACAATACTAAAAGCATGACAAGTATTAATATAAATTACAGCTTCAAAGATTAAGTAACATTTTGTTACTTGGAAATAAATACAAAAAAATTATGTTTTGAAAAAGAAAATATATTAATGAACAGTTAAGTTAAAAAAGACTTAAAATAATGTATATTTAAACACTACATATCTTCTGTGTCAGAATCTGACTCGGCCTCCATGGCCTGTTTAGCAGATTTCTCAGCTTCCAAGTATAACGATTCGGGCACGCGTTCATGTTTTCCTTTAGTTTCTTCGCAAACCCAAGACAATTCCATTTCGAAATTCTTATCCTTCAGTTCATCGTGAACTAAATAAATACTGAAAACAAAATGTTATTAGATTTTCAATTTTCAGTGTTTATTTTTTTTGTATTTACATTCTTGCAGCTTCTTTGACCAATTCCTTGCAAGTCATAGTAGATAACTTCAACTTCTCAATTTCAGTTTTAGCCGACTGTTTTGCTTTGCCAGTAGCACATCCATGGAAACCCTATAATGTTATCAATAAATACTCTATAAATTATGTATAATATATATTGTATTTACATAAGAAACACCTGATGGATCAATCATAAACATGTTTGGTCCTTCTTGGGGATCAAAACTTCCCATGATTATACTGCAACCGAAAGGTCTCACTGCACTGTACAGAGTGTGAGCATGCATGTACATACTGACACGATCATTCAAATAGTTCAATGGTATGCTCACTCCATACTGAGACCTGTAGTTTGCAGATTCCCTTCTTGCAATATCAACCAATTGTCTAGCATCAGCAATCAAACCTGCAACACTCTGTAAAAATACATTTTTACATCATCAACGTCTACTATTTCCAATAAAAAAAATATTTTGATGCCAAAGTTGTAATTAACTGGAATATGCTATACATACCATTCCAACATGTTTATCAATGTTAAATATCCTTTTGTTAGCACCAGGCTCATACAATTTGGATGTTACAATCTTCTCAACCCCAAAGACTACACCGTCTTTTCCTCTAAGACCTATAGCTGTGCCACTGTTTTCAACAGCTTTCATAGCATATTCCACTTGGAATACTCTACCATCCGGAGAGAATTGTGAAGCAGATAAATCATACTAAAAAATTGTTAGGTTAATAGTTCTTCAATCAAATTGCATAGATTGACTATACAAGAAGAAAGCAAACTCACCCCAGTACCAATGGAACTCATATTGTTGCAATTACTTTAAAGGTTTATATCAATTAATGAAGATACTTATATATTAGAAGCGTGATTTGCAGTTTGTGTATTGCAAAGCGGTATTTGAGTAGTCAACAAATTTGACAGTTGCTCGAAGCGCCATCTGATTCTTGGTCACAAACTAATATTGAAGCGGTAAATTCAACTGGATTTATTCCTGATTATCACATTGCATTGATAGGTGTAATAACAAATAAAAAAAATATAATAGTAATTTACAATGTAAATTATTAAGAAATATCACAGTTTGTAAAGGAACCTATTTTACAGAAGTGTAAAGTTTTACATGTTTTCCACAATGCGCTTTGCAGCAGTTAAATGTGTATAAATATATTATTTTGGAAATAATTGTATATACAAATCTACACATCCAAAATTATATAATATTCAAAAGTTCAAGGAATTCATCCTTACGTTATGTATGTGTGCCTTTACAAATGATATAAATGTTTTCAATATATAAATTCCGATTTTGTAAATCATGTTATTATATAAATATAAAAATATTATTAGAAAATTACACTTTTAAAACTCTTTTTCTCGTTTTTTGGCTCAGTTTTTATCACATTCAATTAATAATTAAGATTATATATTTCATTTAGCCATTTAATACTTGTTGAAATAGTTTTGAACAGTCTTATTTTCTATATAAATATCAGTCTTTAACATTTGAATGAATTAAAATAATAATAATACAACAAAGAAAAAAAAATAATACAATTTTGGCTTAAAACAAACGCAAACTTAAAGGCGGTGGTGTTTGATATATAAAAAAAGATAAATAAATACATAAACAAAAGAAAAATAAAAAGGAAATAATGGTTTTAAATAAATATTTTTGAGGTTTAGGTAGTATTATATACATCAAAATAAAAATCGTTTTCGTTTTGTTTTGTAAGCACGCATCTTTGTTTTTTTTTTAATGAAATGTACAATCTTCTTATCCGGCGGGCGTCTTCTTTCTTGAAATGTTCGTGCTCCTGCTAACACTGACGTTATACTCTGCTACAACTAAAGATAAACTAAACGCTTATTAATTACAATACATTAATGAATGTAACGGAATACAGATAAGAAATATGAACTTAGAACATAAATTGTGTCTCTGATTAATAAAATAATGTTTAATGTCTCGACCTATGAGATTCGTCCCGGCGATCTCTTTCACGCTCACGATCAGCTTCCCCACGTCTACCTGATTCCCGCTCTCTGTACCTATCATCATAGTATCTGGATTTCGATGTAGGATCGCCGCCAGCTTCTGTGCCATCTGGAGGTGACTTATTTCTGGGTCTGGACACTCTATAATCGTAAAAACTAATGTTCAAAATATATTGGTACACATGAATGTGGTATATTAAGATATTAATACCTATCATCTGGCTCTCTATCTCTATATTCGCGTTCTCTTTCACGCTCACGTTCTCTGTCACCTCTGCTTCTAGACCTGTCACGCTCACGGTCTCTTTCCCTATAATTATCGGCGTAATAGCGATCGCGCTCACGGTCTCTGTCGCGCTCCCTTTCTCTACTGCGTTCCCTATATCTTGATGTTGATCTGTCTCTTCTTCCACCTCGTCTGTGTCTTTCTCGAGATCTGGATCTTTCCCTTCTGCCTGAACTGTAACTCTTATCTTCGACGCCTCGTAGAGTGTCTTGCAGCGAAGTTATTAAAATTTTACATCTATCATCATTGGAAACCTTTGATTGTTTTATCAACGATATAGCTGTAACCAATGTTTCAATGGCACTGGCATATTCACCGGCCGCCGCATCTGATACTGCCCTGGCAATGGCAGAGCTAGATACCGTACGATTCCTCGACATAATATCTTCAAACTCTTGTTCACTGATCGGAGGCATATCAGACCTGTGATCACCAACTGGAGGAGCTCCATATGGCGGAGCCATATTTGATGAATAATGAGGCGGTGGACCAGAGTTTGGACCCATAGGCGGACCATGCGGGGGTCCATGAGGACCTTGATTCATACCATGCTGAGGTGGCATTCCCGGTGGTCCTCCTTGCATTTGATGCGGCATATTCGGGGGCGGAGCACCCTGACTGAAAAACGCAGGGTTTACGTGAGGAGCAGGTCCCTGTGGCGGTCCTTGCGGTGGTCCATTTGGTGGAACTCCCATCGGCGGTGGTCCTCTTGGCCCCATACTTGGCGGACCCTGCATCGGTGGACCCTGTGGAGGAAATCCTTGTTGCATTGGTGGTCGATTCCAGTCAGGTCTGGGACCCGGTGGTGGGCCTTGGTTTGGCATACCACGGGGTGGCCCTTGCATTTGAGGTGGACCTTGAAACTGGAATTAACACAAATGCACATGTAAATGACAAAAACACCAAAGCTTATATGGAAACCATTAACCAAAGTGATTATGCAAATGAACATAGAGCATTGATGGTTCCCCCCACAACCCTCTAAAAATAAATATTATATTTTTACTTACCATTGGAGGTCTCGGTGGACCTTGCTGGCCAGATGGAGGGCCAAGCCTCATTGGACCCATATTTGGTCCTTGCCCTGGACCATTTGGTCTGGGTCCATTCCATTGGGGTTGTTGAAATCGCATTTGGTTCTGGTTCATCTGTGGTGGACCATTAAAACCTGGTGGAGGACCTTGCATTCTGGGACCATTTGGACCTTGACCACCAGACATACCACCAGGATGCTGCATGGGACCACGGATAGGAGAATTCATTTGCATTCTAGGAGGGAAATTTTGGTGAGGACCTGAGGAAATAGAATGATTAGATTGGCTAGGATGTTGACCACGAGGCCCGTTGTTATTAGGAGGAGTTGGGCGGGTTTTCGACTGACTTTCAAAGGTACTCAAAGCTTGTTTAGTCGGCAAAGTCACTATGGGTGTTTGGTTATGGATTTGCTGTTTTGGCAATCTGTCCAAGCACAGTCGCATACTTGTCTCTGAAGCCATAGAAATAACACAGAAACCTTTGGATTGTCCATTAGGTCTGTGTTCAAAGAATTTTACTTCATTGAAGTCATTTACTCCAATATCTCTAACGGCATTCAAAATATCTTGATCAGTTGTCCACTAGAAAATTACAATTAATTAATTTCTGCTTTTAAAAACATATATATATATAAACATACCCATGTTAAATTCCCCACATACAGTTGATGTCTTCGACCCAAGGTATTTGGAGTAATATTGTTGCCTTGGGTTTGATATATAGTTCCATTTGTTTCTTCTGTATTCGAATTTGACGTTGGTTGAGGATTGTCTGGAGCATCACCTCCAGGTCCACTTGCAGGTGTAGATATAACATCATCATATAAATCTACATTATCACCACCAAAATCATCCTAATTCAAGAAAGAACATATATAAGTTAGTGAAAATTCAGAAAATCGTCTATACACATGTATACATTTATATATCCAACTATTATACCGGTTCGAGCACATAGCGTCTATTTCAGTTACAAACTACCAATAACACTAACACTTTCCCGGCAATATATCACAATACAAAACTAAATCTATAACTATAGGCTAGAAAACTAATTAAATAATTACAAATATTTTACTTACTTGTGCAAAATCTTGATCAATATCGTCTGCATACAAGTCAATGTCGTTGTCAGCCATTTTAAGAAACAACAAACATGTATTGTTAATGGCAGCTAAACTGAGCTAAACACTGAATGCTGAATGCTGTCTTTCTCTCAATTGCATGAACTTAGCATCAATCATACCAACCTATTAAAATATTAAAAAAAAAACATATGTAATACAAGCAAATACAAGTAAATTTTATGCATATCAATTACAGTTTTAGATAAATTAACAACCCCTTTCCGGTTTAACAGCTACCACAATTTTTTGTTGGTTTTTCGGAATTGAACCAACGTCCTTTCGTATCAGTTTTTGTGTGGCTTGGGTCGCCTGTATCACGAAGGGAAAGTTATGCAATCCATTTTACAAATCTACCACATGTAATCTTTTTTTTTACAAATTTATTAAGACTATTTTACGACAGAGGGCGCTTGAAAAAAGTCGATTGATTCACACTCTATACAGTGTTTCCCAAACATTTTGATGAATCAACTATATTTATGAATATATATTTTCTTCAGGACGTAGAAAGTTCTTTTCTAATCAATAGAAAAATATATTTTCTGGTATATCTTCGTAATTATTTCAAAGCTGACCAGTATAATACTAATTCGTATATATATATTGAAGGAGCTTGGATAAGAGGCGAGGAATATATAGGGGGAAAATCGCAGTGGAAGCCGCCAGATGATTTCTGTATTCGATATAATTATTGCATAAAAATATACGTTTTTCTTGAAAATAATGTTATTAATATGTATCCCTTGGATTACCATATTTTGTATAAAGTTCTTTCCACATTCTATATTGATCTTCTTTTGGATTCTTTATTATTTCTAAATCATTACCAATATTCATACAGTTTATATTGGTTCTTCCTAGAGACGCTGTTGGCCAAGTAATATTTTGCAAAATTGTGTCCAAAACAGGAGTCGGGTTACTAAAAAATAGGTACATTAATACATATAAATATATAATTATATATGTTATTACCCATATTTAGCAAAGTTTGTCCAAAGTCTTATCAATCTACGCCTTGTTAATAAATCATTTGACGAAAATTTCGTAGATGTTGTGAATGAATTTTTCCAAAAATAGTTCAACTCTCCTCCATGTGCAACCTTCTCTAGACCTAAAACATTTCAATATAAGATAATTATTCAAAGAACTTAACAACAATTTACCAGAATATGTTTTGATATCACCAGATAATGGCCCATTGTAAGACATTATGTAACAATAAGTTTCTATTTCATTCCGAATTAAAGTAAAATGTTCCCTCCAAGGCCTATTAAACATTGAATCGCTTATGAACTGAAAATAAAAAAAATATATATACAACATATTAATTACAATAAATCAATTTTACTCGAATAATATCTTGATCTGAAGATATAATTATGGGTTTATTTGGAAAATAATAATTAAATAGAGTGTCTGCTACAATAGACCTATTCGCATCAGAAACATACATGTCTTTCGGTATAATTAGTTTTCTTTTTAGATCGATTTGTAGCAGTAATAGCCTAAGCATTGGAATCACTAAAAAATAAATTAATAACATTAAAAGTGATGTAATTTTTGAATTAATTACTAGGTGAAATAATGAGACCCTCTTCTGAAGTTGCTCCAAGCATTAAAGTAACATTTTTTGGGAACTTTCCATTTGATAACATCTCGTAGGTATTCTCTGTAATAGCTGAAGTAGCTACATTCTTTTCCAATACTGGTGCGAAAGGAATTCCGTTAAATATACCAAAATCATCAACGCTATCCTAAAATGTAATAATAATAATATTTACAACATATTACATACAAATCAATGAAACTTACTATGTTGTATGTAAGAGTCGCTGCGGTTCTGAGAAAGAATAAATCAAGTAACTTTAGGCAATTTAAAGCTAGATTTGTTGTTGCAAATATAATGCAGGGTGTTCGGGTAACAACGTTCCAGAATATTTTTTCCGGACTCCTTTGCAACGTCCAAGGGTATAAAGCACTTCCACTTTGATAAATAGCTTTAGACATTAATCCTAAAGAAAAAAAAAACAATTTGATGTAAAACTTATTAATTTACAATTATAAATTACCTAAATTTCTTGTAAGTGGAGATTGTATTAAATATGAAATTAAAGCCGCCCCAGCACTTTCACCAAATAATAAGATGTTATTCGGATCACCATTGAACGCATGAATGTTTTCCTTAATCCATTGCAATCCTAAAACTAAATCTTTGATTCCATCGTTGCCCGGAAGCAAATCATTACCGGTGCTCATGAAGCCTGAAATCTTACATTTTCTTTACTTGTTAACTTCATATTCATGTTAGAGATACCAAATAATCCGAGTCTATAGTTCAATGATACTATTATTACGTTTTCCAATAGAAAATGATCTGGACCGTAAGTAGCGTAATTGCTGTCTCCAAAAATAAACGTTCCTCCGTATATCCAGACCATAACAGCTAAAGATATATTCGAATCAGATGGTAACTAAAATAACAAAAGTTTTAATTTATTTCATTAGCCGATTAAGTGACATATTCAAAACCGTTGGAGTATAGACGTTAATGAATAAACAATCTTCCGATTCTTTCAGATTGCTTCTGGGTACTTGTATGCAGCTTGCTCCATCGCTTGTTGCATCATAAATTCCGGTCCATGGCTTCACTGCAACAGACCTCTGGAAACACTCGCAAGAGATACTAATGGTTGTTTACTAGTTTTATTATTATTAATTACTTTAAAACGTTCGGGCGGTTGGGCATAGCGCATCCCTTTGAATGCATAGTAAGGATGCTCCGTGCTGCAAACATCTGTGTTGCACGTATCTGTAACGGATTGAATGCCTCGCACTTGGCCATTTGCCAAATTAACAATAACGTCTCCGTTCTGCACAAAAGTAAAGACATTAGTATCTACGTTATTGATGTAGGAGTGAAAGTAACCCTTATTTGATTTATGGCTCGATGCTGCATCGGTATAATTACTTACAACTTGCGACAAATAACCGAAAAATGCTAATATCCACATGCTTCTTTCACTTTCCGATATACGCTTTTCATTTGTGGTATATAAATGCATAATCGCTTATCAAGCCAACAATAATTATTCATTTTTTCAGGAATATTAAAATGTGTAGATAATAAAATAGTTCAAGCTCATAAATTATAAGAATAAACTTTTATATGTTATTTGTTGTCATTAATTCTTCCATCAGATATTTAATGTAATAATCAAAGATAAAACTAAAATGTTATTATTCTATACTAGTAATAAGTCTAAATACATTTCTTTATGATTTCTGATAAAAAAAAATTACTTATAATTCATATAATTAACCTAATATACATTCTTAAAATTATATAAATTACAACATTTCAACTAAGAATTAGAAAAAGTTTGACATATTTTTATTGAATAAATAATTTTGTTATTAAAATTCTGTATATTAACATTCATAATGCAGTAGAACCTCGCTTAACGAGTTTAATCCATTTCAAAATTTCACTCGTATAGTGAAAGAGTTTTTCCCATATAAACTAATGTAAATTACGATCAATGTCGAAAAAAAAAAGTATAACTTGGTCTCAATTTTTCAGGATTTTGCTTTACATATCTGTGGTTATTTTTATTCTTTGGCTTTTTATTTGCAGACATGCAAGTGTTATTATATTTTGCATAAAAAAACACAAATAACATGTCTGAACACAAGTTTGGAAAAACACTAAGATGCAACTAGAATTACCACTAACACTAGGAACTGTTTTCTAATTCACACACGGTGAAGTGAGTTTATATTTGTTTATATTACTTGTATCAATTTGGAGATTTGTTGGAAGTCTCTTTATACTTTTAATATTTGTTTATATAAAAAAGCGTGCATAGTGTGTTTATATTTTATAATAATGGTTGGACACAATACATTTGTGTTTTGCATTTACAGTAAACACAAATTATATTTGCAAAGTATAATCCGCTTTAAACAAAGATGACAAAGAAAATCGAAGATGGTTAATATATAGCGTCACTCGTTATGCAAAACGTCGCTCGTTAAGCGAGTCATTTTTGTTACAATTAATTTTGCTCGTTATGCAAAGTGCTTGTTAAGATCCTTCAAAGCAATTGATTGATTACTGTATTAAATCATCACATTTATTTCATTATAACACAATAATTGTATAAGGTTTCGTAGGTAGGAAAGACATGAAGAGAGAATTGTGGAAGTTGCTGTTCATATAGTTCCCATGTTACATGTCACACTAACAAATAAACCTATTATAAGTGTTTTGTGGATGCAAAAACCTCAAAAACTAGCCTCTACTTATGTATTATTACAAGTTATGATTGATGTGTATGTCAAATGTTTTGTATGTAACTGTGCTTTTACCGTAACGCGGTCACATTTTAATCCTTTACATATTCCCAAAGGATTCTTTTTTTTTAAATTTTGTAGAACTTTCTAAGGAAACATCTGCATACGACTTCCTCCGCAAGACGAAACACGAATGACATTGATGATTTGCAATTTTTTCAATATTAAAAATTTGTTTCACTGATTCCATTGATATGAAAATATATTAAAACAAATATGTCGTTAAAATTTATAAATAATTTCCTTATATTTTGATGTATACATTGATCAAGAATATGTTCATTTTTTTGTTGCACTATCAGCATGTAGAAAAATAGTATTTTATTCTGTTAAGTGTTCAGGATGTGCCGAGTGAATAGAAGATCTAAAAGTACTCTTGTCCCTGAAAGAAAAAAAAAAACTGTTGGTCCCGTTTTAACCCAAACAACCACAAAGTGCTGTTTATTTGCCCTATATAGTATGTGGGAATAAAGGACAGCTACCGTGGACAGTGCCTGTTCCGCAGGTAGATTTGCGAAGAACTGTATCAATCCTTTTTTTTAAAACAGACATTCAAAACTACGTATTTCATTCAGGAATCAGGTAAATACTCAATTTATTTTAATAGTAATTTTTATTAATACACATTATTATTGTAATTTATTAATCATAATTTATATTTATTGATTAATACAATTACAATATAATCTCTATATTATGTAAAAATAACGAGATTTAAATTTATTACTATTTTTATTTCAGAAACATGAGTAATACTAATTACAATGAAGACTATCAACCAATGAATCTATCTACGAATTTGGATCAACGTCCGTCATTGGTTGAGCGAAAGATCCAAGCGAAAACTACAACAGAACCAACGAAATATTTGGTGCCTCCTAAAAATGATAAGCAAGTCGAAGCATCAATTAATCATTTAACAAAATTATCAATGCGCCCGTTTGGAACACAATTTCAGGCTTCCGAAGTATTAGAGTGGGCAAATCCGGACGTTGAGAAATTCGGTGAGGTCAAGGATTCTAAAGTTGACTATTTCGGAGATATTAAGAAGAAGCGAAAAGAAAATTTTGCTAATGAAAAACGCGATCTACTGTTAAAACATCTTAGAGGCGATATAAAAAGATTTCGCTATGACGACAAAGAGGATAAGGCTGAACTAGTCAATAGATGCTGTTACCTAGAGGAAGAGTTAAAGAAGCTGAAAATTCAAAATAAAATACAAGACGATCTGTTGAAACAAAGAATGCATCGATGTATAGAATGCTTGAAAAAGATATCTTAGATTTGAAGTCTAAAATTGCTACGATGAACATTTTACAATATAAAATTCATATGTTGTCCGACTAATAACATAATATTAAACAAAAAAATATTATTTATAGTCAGATGCAAAGATATAATTTATATTGTTTACAAATATCATTACAGTAATTATTGGACTTTTTTAAATCAAATTTACATCTCTATTAATTAATCTTTGATTTTACATAACATCAAATAAATTTGTTTCATGTGTGGATTGTATATTAATGCAGTGAACGGAAAGACAATAAATGTTCAAATTCATTTTAAAGAAAACTTTAGTTTCCGTTACGCAATTCGCTGGGTTTATTACCACATTCAGGTAAAAAAAAAAGGAGAACTGTGATCTATTTTTAATATTTCGGTTTTATTATATCCTCATAAAGACTTATTGCGCAATTTCTGTATTAAGTATATGTATTGAATACTTAGTGTGAATATTTTCTAGTGATATGTCTTACACTTCATAGTAATCCATAAACAATGAAGTAAAGTACATTTAGTTACCTATATAACAAATTTTCTATTTTTGTTTAAAAAATCGATTAATTTCCCAAATATTAGATTTCCGAGAATAAAATTGCATAAATTTGATCTTATTTTTAATAGAATTATGTTTTATTGAGTTAAAAAATTGTATTTGAAAAAATATATAATATACTAATAACTTTATTTATGTCGAGTATTAATACTTAACAAATATAACGTTAAATTATATATTTCGTAAAAAAATGAATGAATCGAATCAGAATGTTGTCAATAAACATAATAATCAATCAATGAAAAGATAGTTGGATTATCAAACATAACATTGATATTAAACAAACAATGTAACAGACTGTAATCATAATAGTTACTCACTTCATTCATAAACGGAACGAATATTTATCAAAACATATTGTTGTTCTTTTAACATAAGGACTTATTAATTTTTTAATTAAATCATAATATATGAATTACATTTAACAGAAAATTTTCTTTCAAAAAAATACTGTTGCATTTTTACTTTGAATTTCTACTAGACAATGTAACATAAAAAGTGACCCAATTTTGGTATAGAAAGCATAACAAATGAGACCTCTGAAAAAAAATATTTTGGGCTAAACTATCAACACGAGTTTTTTAAGAAATGCAAAATACTTGAAAATGATTTACGACCATCGACAGAGAAATAAATTTCTAAAAAAAGCTTTCTACTTATATCTTTTTTTTTTGCATAAAGTAGATTGAAAGATGGAATGTTTACTAAAATATCAGTATAGTTGTTATTTATTATTTGAGAGTCTATCAATTAAGTGATGATTATGCGCGTTTGATTATCGAAAGGTATGAATTAATAATTGTGATTTGTTTATAAGTGACTAAGAATGTACAATCAACAGATTTTATTGTAATTGAATGGCGAATGTTTTGGTTACAATGATCGATTATGTTATCAAGTTATCGTGCAAGGATTATTAGTGGCTGAGTGGGTTGAACAAGTTTGCGCTATTGAATGGATAATGCCGCACGAATTCTGTTCTCATGTCACTTGTCATCTAGTTCATGCCTTAACAAATATACCTATTATGGAAGGGGTTTTTGTCGATGCAAAAACCTTCGAGAAACTGGCCCTTTGCTACCATCCATTGTAACAGTTATGATTGATGTCTGTGTCAAATGTCCTGTAATAACTGTATACAAAAATTTTGCTCATATTCTAATCCTCATTGTGTACGCATTTTGACCTATATCTATGAAACAGGAAACATCTGCCATTCAAAGGGTTTACTGCAAATATTTTTCACAATTTCAGAACTTACTGTCTTTTTTTTTTTTACTTCTAACGGGACTCTCAGTTGACCGCAAGCATTTTTTTTTCCTTCGTGTAATAAAACACCCCGCAAAAAAATGGCAAAACACTCATAAACTTTACAGTTCCTAGGAAGATTTTTTAGTTGCAAAAATCTAGACGCAATATAGTCTTTTTTAAGGGTACCGACGTTGCAGACTTTTTTAAAAGAAACTCGGGCTTGTAATAAACGCTTGAGGGTTGAAAAAAAAAAACGGCACATTCCGAGATTTACGTTTTTTACTGCCGTAAAAAATAACTTTAAAAAATATGAATGCAATTTTAGCGACGTTCAGAGTATATTGCTTATATTCTGATAATAAAAATAATTTTAATAATTACATAGAATTACATTGTTGTAGAAAATTGCACAGATGTTATACAGTGGAACCTCGCATAACGAGTTTAATCCATTCCAAGATTACCGGATTTTTACTCAGTTTTTCCCATATAAATGTAAAATATGTTGTGTTTTTTAAATAAAACAAAAATTAGAAAGGAAATGCAAAAAAAACATTTTACTGGTATGTAATAAATGTGAAACTTCTTGGGGTAGGTATTTCGGTACCAATAAAGAAAAATTGCACAATCTTTTATGATTGCTCGTTTTTTTGTACCTTTGCAAAAAAAAAAATGCAATTGCACTATAATGTTTCANNNCTTTCATCTTTTTTTTTTTTTTAGTTTTTTTTTACAACGTTTGTTGCGAATTGTCGCATAAAAGAAATGTTCCCAGTTTTCGTCAAAATGAAGGCGCGTTTTATAACATGCCTTTTTTTTTTTAATTGTGCCCCTTCGTAGAAAATGTAAAAAATGAACTTGAAATACGTGCAATGATACCTAAAAAACAGAAAATTGCAGTATCATAAAAAAAAAAACGGGATTTTGCAAGCAGATTAGTGGAAATTTTGAAATGTTAGCAAATGAAAGCTTTTTGTTTTTTGAAGTTTGTTTGCTGAAAGTTTTAAATATTTAAGTGGGTTAAGAAACGGTAAACGCCTGATTTTGGAACCGCTACGCTAATATTTGCAGTGTTCTGACAGGTAAATGGTTGGAAGGGTTGAAGGAGAATTCGAGGAAATGATTGCGGTTCGATTTTTGCATTTCGATTGGAAATGTTTGCGTGCTGGGGTTGGGGGATGAAATCATCCGAATCCCCACACATGTGTGTGTGTGGAGATTTTGCGGAAGCGGAAGGGTTGCAGCACGCGTTTGTATTCTATTTACGTTCATCGTATGGAGGGGCTTGATGTTTGTTGCGGGACAGATGATTCACGGAAAAGAGTTGATTGACATACATTTTGCTTTCTGACCAACTCCACTGGAGACTCAATAAAGTGAAAGGATTAACGCTAGAACTGTCACTGCTACTTGTAGTTGTAAATAGCTGAAAGCACAATTTTGCATTTTATAACCGTCATAACTGCGCTTCGGCTCCTGGAAAATCATTTGGAGAAAAAAGGGTTAACGAATTGCAAATGCAGCCATCTCTGGCACGTTTCTGCCACGTTTTAGCTATGGACAAATTCCGGTTGCCTCTCCTTACTGCTTAATCTAACTGTAAGTGGTCAACCACTAGAGCCCTTGCCAGGTGCCACGCGCTCAAAGGGTTCCCCAACTCCCACATATTATATAGGCCAAAAATGAATATATATATGTGTGTGCATAATAGCCTTGCGGTTGTTTGGCTTAACATGGGAATAACTGCGTGGGATCCGAAAAATTTGGATGTCGCTTTCTTGCACCTCTATTCTATTGGATAACGGTTGATGCGGATATTTACACTCAACCTAAGGTGTTTGCCAAGAACGCCTCCAGAACCACACACATACGCATACTTAAACCCTACAAGAATCGCACAAAACTCACTTTGCCGGATAATTTGCATTCAACATTTACGCATCTTGCTATTATCCAACAAATACCAAGATATTTCAAATAAGGCTACTGAAATCTTTTCTAATATTTATTCTACCGCTAAATACCAATGCTGAACAATATCAACAAAAAGACACATTCGTTTCCAAACATTTTCACTCAAGAATCCATTACTATTTATATATACAAAATTTTCTTAAAATTATGTATTATTTCTAATACGTTTCTGTACAATAAAACTCTAATATTATCAACATACATCTAAGTTCTTATTTAATTTATATAACTTTCTTCGTGGATACAAACCGAGACAAACTATTTATGACATCAAAGATTAACTTTTTTTAAATGTTTCAATTTACGATGCTACATAATAAAAAACCCTTCAGTCAACTGCGTTAACCCTTTCCCACCTACAATACAATCGTAATAAATATAAAATACTTTACGAATGTAAATACCATTATGAATCTGTATGTTATATATTAAAAAAATAAACATTTAAATCATATTGCTTTTATTACAATTTTTTTATAAAATTCTCTTATTATTATGCGTACTCGATATTTATAAATAATTACATAAGAAGTCGACATATATTGACCACAATTTATGAAGAAACGTAAAAGGAATATCGGTTCTATTAAAAATTAATTGTTTTTTTTCTCTAATGTTATATATAATTGAAAAAAAAAATACTTCGTGGTTAATTAGATTATAATATAATTATAACGGCAATTTTTAAACAAATGTTCGGTTTTTATAGTCCGGAACCGCACTATTTGAGGTATTGTTGTATCTTGAAAATATTTGTTTATAAATTGTTTGTTATTAATTATTATTTTAATCTAGTAGAAAATTATTTTTGCAAATTGATGCGTCAGTACTTCAAAGTACATTAGTACAAAGTTTTTTATGACAAGAAAAATCTGTGCAAAAAAAAAAGGAAAAGGAAAGTTGAAGCCTTGCAATGGTAAAAAAAGAACTATAAATATCTTTTGTCGCCGAAATTCCTAAAAAAGTCATTTAAAAAAGTCATTTTCCACAAAATGAAAGTTTCATTTGCGTTCTTTTTAAGTTATTTTATGATATTTAGTAATAATAAGTAAATTTGTTCACAAAACAAATATTTTTGCAGAAAATTTTATTTTGATAGATGTATTGCGACATTTAAAAAACAAAAAAACTTGAAACAAAATTCATTAAGTTAAATATTTGAGCATTTTGCTTAATGAGAAGAGAAGTCCCGGATTGTGCACCTTCTACGTTATTTTTAAAACTTATGTACACATATTATGTGTATTTTTTAATATGTTTTACTATACAAGTAAAAATCAGGAAATTTTGGAACGGATTAAACTCGTAAAGCGATTTTCCACTGTATATGCTGAACCTGATATTGAAATAATTTAATGAATGATATATATTTTAAAAATTGGTGACAAAACGTTTCTATATATGCAATATAATAATGATATTATTTTGTTTTTTTTACTTTATTTCAAAACTATTCCTTTTTGGAGTTTCTTTGCCGGCAATTTTGCATAAAAGAGGATTAAAATTGTCGCCGGTTTTGTGAGTCAGTCGAACGTAAAGGATTGCATAAAGGAAAGACCACCGCGGAGACACTTTTCGGCTGTCAAAGTTGTTTAATAGTCAAAATTAGTTTTCCAAGAACGCAAGCAAAAACCCTTTCAACCCTTTGAGAAAGTTAAGAGAAAAAAAAAACTATTTTGCATAAGAAGTTGCAAATAATAAATAGGATTAATTGTGTAACATCAAAGAATACACAATTTTGAATATACGCTGTGTGCATGATCGTTTTCTAGTCCTTTTATTTTTTAAGTGAAAATGGTCCAAAAAATTGCATGCTCTATTGGGGACGGCTGTTAAATATTTGCTTAGGGATGTTTTTTACGCCGACAAAAAAAAAATGAGTAAAAACGGTACATCTAGGTAAAATGTGAAATCATAAACCACAATCGAATAAGGAAAATAATGGTGTTGAAACTGATGGTAGCCAAAAGAAGTGGGAGTAGATAGCCCTTTGGAGCGGCTCTGTGATTGGTCGATTGTGAGGTGTACCTTCTCGCTGGTCAGTTGTGTATAAAAGGAAAATGCTAAATGCAGATATCAGTTAGTTAGTTCTGTCCACTTCGCAAGTACGTGCAGTACGAGAAGAACATTTTCATTTCGACTTTTCATTTTCAACTATTACAAACTTTTCTAAGGTATGTGTCACGGTACCGAAGCTTAAGATTCAAACTCGCAGTAAAATATTAAAAAAAAAACACACACACACAAGTGAAACTTAATTAAAATTGATATTAATCAGTTCTTTTGTCTACTTCAGATGGAACCTACACAAGCAGTGCAAAGTGAAGTTAAATTGGAATACTATCCAATGGATTACTCTTCTCCAGTATTGGACCTTACTGTAAGGAAGCGCAGCAGGACCCCAGAAATGCCGTCGTACCAAACCAGCAGTCCACAACACATCACGGAATCGCATCAAAGCAAGTCTTTCTGCGATCCACCCACGACTGTCATGAGCTCACCGAGCCCGACATCTCAATCTGGAAGCGAATCATCCGAGATCTCCGTATCCGACCAGTATAATCAGTACATGCAAAACGCCCCGAAGAAGATCATCCGTCCATTCAAAGCCTATCCGAAAGATCCACTTGCCGTAGCAATTCCAACGGTTGCTGCTGAAATCATTCTGGGCCATGACTCCGATGAAAACTCCTACGCCAATTTCAGGCAGAAGATGTTGTCCAAGGTACAGAACCAAAATATGGGAACCAACATTAAGATGCGCAGAAACAATCCTAATGCTACCGGAACTCAGAACGAGGATCCCACATATTGGGAGAAACGCAGGAAGAACAACGAAGCCGCGAAGAGGTCCCGCGATGCCCGAAGGGCCAAAGAAGACGAGATCGCCATCCGTTGCGCTTATTTGGAGCAGGAAAATCTTAAATTGCGCTATCAGCTCGCTACTATGGAAAATGAGAACAAACAGCTGCGCGTTATGATTTACAACGAATAAGTGTCCATACGTTTAAGAATTTTGTGATTGATCTCGTCATTAGTTTAAGCATATTTATATAGTGTATATAGTTATTATAATATTTAATTTTACTTACAAAAAAAAAA